TAGGGAACCAAGTCATGATGTCCAGTACACGGAACCATTTTTTAAAGAACAAAGTGCATCTAGCATGACACTCTTCTGAAGTGGAGATCAAGTGCATTTGAGGAAGCATCTTCCTTTTCAGCAGGGTATACCTCAGCTTAAGTTGAAACCCACTTAAATTGTTATGGTAAGTCCACCGACCACTTTCCTGCTTATTTATTCCGTTACTGTGAAGGAGCTGGGTTTTTCTTTTGCTGGGTCTTGTTCCAGCCTTCCCTGAAGTATGTGAGGGCCAGGCATTGGGGGGGTGGCTTGGCTTTATGTTGAGCTTGTGTCCCACAGCTCTCAGCTACCTCTGTTTTAAGGCCTGGGCCCTCTTCACTTCTGTATGTCAGGTTCAAAGATTCTTGACACCCTCCCCCTTTCGCCCTCCTCCTCCCTGAAAAGCCAGTGGCCCCTTTGGTCCCTGATTCCAAACTGCCTCTGTCCTTTCAGTAGCTGCTGTCCAGGTGAATTCTGACACAAAGGATCTTGCTCATTTCCACCCCTGCCGACCACTGAGGATGCACACACTTCAGAGCAGCCTAGAAGTCCCAGTAACAAGCCTACACTAAGTGGATTCCATTTTCTTTTTCTGAACATCCATCATTTTTGGACAGCATCACATTTGGAACAGTCAAAAACAATAAGAGGAATCTGGAAGGCTATATATCCTGGGGGTGGTTCCTAGAGTGCATGGTAATGCTTTCAAAGGGCATGTGATGACATCAAGCAATGAAGGAAGTCAGTTGGATGGGAAATAACGTCTGCGCCCTGGTGGAACATGCACTAACAGTGTGCCCCAAGTGCAGTGCTGTGGTGTAGAGGTGCAGAGCTGTGAGGTGAGGGGTCTTCCTACGAGTAAAAGTGACCTGACCTATAGTCAACTGCTGGGCCAGTTGGGCTCTACGGAGATTCCAGTGCGTCAGGGGGATTTCTCCTCGCTCTGTTCCAGTAGTGCTCAGACGTGAAATGGGACGTGGGAGCCCCTGGTAGTAAGCTTTCAATGTACTGAGGTAGACCTGTCCCAAGGATTTGATGAGGCACAATATTCTGGCCCCATTGACCACTGAGGAGCTGAGCTGGAGGGGTGTGGGCTCTTGGTCACCAGAGCCTTCACACACATGTTTAAGTGGATGTATAAGCCAAAAAGACGTGTCAAGGAGGGAATGCAAGGAACGAAAAGCAGCATGGGACAGAAGCCAGGCCATGTCCTTTAGGTGGTGACTTAAGAAAGGAATGGACTGGCTGCTTAAGAAGCCTTCCCAGTACAGGTTATTCCCATGCACCTCCGCATGTAGTTACATGGCATTTAATAAGGATCTACGTAGGCTGGAGAATGTTATATCATGCAAGAGCCTGGCTGCAATTGGTCACACATCCATCCAGTCCCGTGCCAAGGAAAAGAGCGTGGACTGTGCTGTCGGGTGCAGCCTTTGGCCATCTGGTTGCTTCCTTTTCTGCCCAATTCAAACGGGTCTCACAAGAGGCTCTCTTCATGCCTTGGACCTCTCAGGCATTTTGTTCTTTGCCCCTGAATGTGATGCCGACTGCCAAGGTGAGCCCCGAGTATGCTGGTGGGAGCTGGGTGCCACCCAAGAGCTACCCATGGTTCTGGGTGTGAATTGAGGAGCTTCCTGGAGCGTGGCAGGAAGCAGTGTGAGGAGCAGGGAGTCTGCACATCACCAGCCCTCCACAGGGCTCAGCAGACCCTTCCCTGGGTCTCGAGCACCCTGAGGGGAGGCCCCTGCTTCCCTCTGATAATGCAGTTATCTGCAGACCACCCCGACTCCAGAGCAGAGCTAGTGCTGGCGCTGATGAAAAGACTTGTGGTTTTGGCCACTTGTGCAAGAAGTCGGTGACCCAGGCACTGAGCTCCTTTTGAGCCTTGAGGTACTCTAATATCTATCACTAACTCTTGGCAAGAGGAAGGAATTCTTGTGGTCTGGTCGTTGCCAGGGAAGCCGATTTTTGCGGTTATTTTGCAGCGACCCAGACCCTTTGTACTGATTAGTGAAATGGCCTGGCCCCTTGGTGCTGATTGGTACAGAGGCCCCAGTGGGAGGAGGGACAAGAGGGTGGCTGTCATCTCGATTGCTGCCTGCCCTTTGTGCAGTCCCACCCTTTGTCTAGTCCCACCTTTTGTTGCTAATTGTCAGAGATGCTCCAGGGGCAGCTTCCATCTTGGCTGCTGCCCTTTATGCCACCCCACCAGCCGTCACCTTCCTCTCTTACATGGGCTGCAATCTCCTGGTTGATTGCCTGAGAAATCATGGCCGATGCTATTTTTCCGAGATGGCTGGTTTTCCTGAAACCATGATTTAAGTAGATCCCTACCCAGCCCCCACAACCCCAGTACCCTTCCTGTGGGCTGAGTGATGGGGCTGTCTCCACATCTCCTGCTGGAGCCACCCCCTAGACAACCAGGAATGGTCTAGTTGGGGACAGCAAGCTAGAAGGAGATGAACTGTAGCCCAGTGAAGATTGTTCTTCCATAGAAGGTTGTGGGGCAGGGGTTTGGGGAGTCTGGGTCCTTGTCCCAGGCATCAGGACTGTATCTATTTCTAAGCGAGTGCATGATCAGTCCTGGGAGCTGACCCTGCAGGCATGCACATAGTCTGGAGGTAATGGGGTCTGCGCTAGCACAGGTGCTGAGCTTTGCTATAGCTCCTGGGTGCGGCTGCTTGGGTGAGGTTGGGAGAAATGGCTCCCCAGGTAGACCAGTATGAAGGTGGTAGTTCTGGGGAGGAGATGACTCACCTTCCTCAGAGGTTCAAACATTCCCTTGTTCCAGACCTGCAGCACGTAGTGACAGACTTCCAGCAAAGTTGGCCCTGGGGGGAGTTTGCTTGTCTGTTGCTGCCGTTTCCACTTCCAGAAGATCATCAGGCCGGCAGCACAGGCTGCCAGGGGGAGCACAGCTGCATTTCCAAACTCCATCATGCCAAACCACCAGGAGACTGAGAGCAGTGCCAAGAGGCGTCTGATCTGATGTACTTAATGCACGCCTGCCTGCAGGGGTGTGTGTGTGTGTGTGTGTGTGTATACCATACTGGGAAGCAGCAACCCCAGATTAGGAAATCATGAGGGACTTGGCTGGCACGCCCATGAAGCATTGTTATATCTTGCTCTTGAATTGTCCTAGGTAAGTGTGTGACATCTGAGCGCACACATGTTTCTTTGGATAAATCCAATATCCTTCATTAGACCTACTAAAATAGCTGGGATAAGTCTTTGCATGCTTTTAGGTGGAAACACCCTTCTTTTAGGCATAGGAGGCATCTGCAGTTGTTTTGTGCTCTTCCTGGATGGGATAGAAGTTAGTATGCAAGAACGCAGGTCAATGAAAATGCAAATGTGTGGCAGACAATGGGTGAGAAACAGGTGGGGGGGAAGAGGAATCATGTCCTGGTGATAAGATGTAGTTGGTAAATTGTAGAGAAGTTACTTGTTTTATCAGATTTTGGGCAGTTTATAACATGTCATAAATCCAATGTCTAAATTAGTCCATGATTTTTTGTATCCAGTAGGTTGATGAAGTGAAGTTCGTAGGCTCACCTGTAAAAAGTGTTCTGCAAGTTCCCTTTAAGGATTAGAGCTGAGGGATTGCAGAGGGAGTGGTTGGCTTGTGAGAAATGTGCCCCCAGAAGCCATTGGGATTCTTTTTCTGTTTCTTAGATTTTTGGTGTGCGTTCATTCTGGTATGCAGTTGTGTGGTTTCTCCTACATGTATTCCCTCGGGGATTTAGTGCACTGGATGAGAGAGGTTACACTTCTGGAGGTGCAGCTGTGAGATGTAGGAATGTTGATGCTTCCATTGTGGGGTGTATTTCCCGTGGGAGTTTTGGAAATAGGGTGACAGGTTTGACATTTCATGGCAAGGTCTGGATCCTTTCAGTGTGTTTTGGCCCATAAGACGTTTGCTTCTGGTCGTGAGGTTGGCAAGGTTCAGTGCTTATTTAAAGGCTAGGATGGGTGGTTCTGGGAAGATCTCTTTCAAAATTGGGTGTCTTCTAGTGTGGGTTGTGATTCAGGATTTTCTGTTTAGGTTCCAGGGGGGGATGGTATGTCATAATGGTATGGCTCAGCAGGGAACTCCTGAACCACCTACACCTCAAAAGAAAGGCTTATACAGGATGGAAGACTGGAATCACCACTAAGGAGGAGTATTCAGCACTGGTCCATATCTGTAGGGAGCGAAGCAGGAAAGCCAAGGCTGTAACCAAACTCCACCTGGCTACACATATCAAGGACAATAAAAAGTTCTTTTTCACATATTTGGGGAGTCAGAAGAAAAGCAAGGGTAACATTGGACCCCTGCTAAACCAAATGGGACATCTGACAACTGACACCCAGGAAAAAGCCAACCTGCTTAATGCATACTTCGCGTCGGTTTTTCATCAGCCCAAAGGGACCACCCTGCTTAGCATGATGCGGGACAGCCAGGATGAGGGTGAATTTATACCCAGCATCGGTGTTGACCTTGTAAAGGATCACCTTGAGAGGCCGGACACCTTCAAGTCAGCGGGTCCTGACAGATTGCACCCCCGAGTACTTAAGGAGCTGGCAGGCGTCATAGCCCAACCACTGGCAAAGATATTTGAAAACTTGTGGCGCTCAGGTGAAGTACCCAAAGATTGGAAGAAGGCAGATGTGGTACCCATCTTCAAGAAAGGGAGGAAAGTAGATCTGGGGAACTACAGGCCAATCAGCTTGACCTCAATCCCTGGAAAGATTGTAGAAAACTATCAAAGAGACCATTCTTGGCAAGCTGGCTGATGGCAGCATCCTGAGGGACAGCCA